GGCATTGCCACATTGTGCCCGTTTGATTCATCCTGGGCGCGTTCATGTGCTCGCTCCTCTATCGAATTCCCTCCATACAAATAACCATCGAAATTCAGAGGTGTCGACGAGGCTCTAGGATTCAATACTATCGGTGGAGGACAGATACGAGGTTTTCAATCTTTTTATTCTTGCGAAATGGAATTTAGGGAAGTGACATTTTTAGGGAAAGCTTTAACCATCAGAGAGTGGACAACAATATCACAGAAAATTAATAGTATTATTAATATTATTAATATTATTATTATTTTTTGTGTGTGTCGTGAGTTGTTGGATTAGTCTTTTCCAAATTTTTCATCGAATCTTTGGTAAAAAAATGGAATTGGAAATATTTTGGAGCTATTTGCTGTAACTTTATGTTGTAAAAATGATGATATTTTAAATACATTGATGGACTTTTTTTGCTGCATTTTTCAGTACACTTCTTGGAAATTTTTATCACATTATAATTGAACTGAAATTTCAAAGAATTTAGTAATTGAAAATTCTGGATTTTACGGGAAAATCAGGGTAAGCTGTGGACTTCAGTTCAATTGTTCCATAAAAATTAATACAAATCAGGAAAATTCGAGGGAATATATCGTTGAATTTTCAAAAAAATGAAAATTGAATTTGACTTGATGCTGAATGTTTAAATTTGGAGTAAAAATTCAAGTAAGTATTGGAAATTCTCGTCTTCCTGCGGCTAAAAAATTTGAACTGTCATTGAACTTTCACTCCACTCCGAAGAGAATGTAAAAATTGAATAAACTTTGCATTTACAACATAAAAACCGTCTTCTCTGGTGCAATTAAATCGAAAAAATTTCTGCAGTTATAATATTGCTATTTAATGAATAAAATCGATGTATAAATTAAATTTGATCTTAAATAAAGATAGAGTTTCGAAAGCTTTCGATTACAATTCCCGAAAAAAATTAACCCTTGAAGAATGCAGAGGCGTGAGTATTTTCTTAAAACTGAAATTCAATTCCAAGTAGAGCCCTCCTTTCCCATCATCCTCTGTCACTCCAGACAGGTCTTCCCTGAAGGATGTGACACATCCTGTCCCCTACCCGACCTCTTCCACGTCAGAGTGAAAAACTTCTGCATCACCCGAGAAATCTCCGCACGACGATAAAAACACGTTAAACCCGAAAAATTGTGAATCCCAGTCACTGGGATTTTCGAGAAATGACATCTGGAAATATCAGCGAGTTTTTCGCGCACTGAAGGCCTGGCTCATGTCTTCCAGATCGACATAATTCCACTGGGGTTTATACGTGACGGCATACACTTAGAATTCTCCGTCTTGGTTTCAACCGAATGTTTCTGTGCGTGACCTAGACGATTTCGGGAGTATGACGCCGAGGCATATCCCCGAGATAACAAACAAACTTGCTCTGGTCGTTCTCATATCCCACTCATCTCGTTCGGTTTTGGGATTGATACAAAATCGTTATAACGATTTGTTGACGGATGCACCGGAGAATAAACCGTCCCGAATGATGGAATTTTTTATTTATTCAGAACTGAACAAAACAGTTCTTCTTCTTGAAAACATTGATGAGATACGGGCTGTCAATCAATTATGTCAATTAAAAACTTAAGAAAAGACTCCTGTTTTGTCCCTGTCGTTCCCCTGATACAACAAAAATAATTTTGAACATCAGTTATCCCAGTGAAAAGAACAATGGGATGATAAGGAATATCAAATAATATTTAGGGGAGAGTCGGGCAAAATGGGACGTTTCGTGATCTTCTCTAATTGTCAATATCTTCATTTATAAGCGGAGATATTGACAATTGGAAAAGATTTCAACGCGTCCCATTTTGCTCGATCCTCCCCTATTCATTGTAAAGTGACGAGGCATTCAATGATAAATCAACGAATCGCAAAGCACTCGTTGAATTGCCATTGAACATTTTTATGTTAAATCCTTTAATGAAAAATCCAGTGTAACGTTTTTTGAAGGCAATCTATTCGGCGTATTGTATCATTAGATTTTTCATAGATGATTATAGTGTACATTAAAGATATTACGGTAATACTTTATTATCGTAATATCTTTCATGTGTGCTATCATCATTTATAAAAATTCTAATGACACAATACGCCGCATAGATTGGCTTCAAAAAAAGACTGGATGGATTATATATTTAAAAAATAGAATAAATTTTTTTTTTTTTTTTTATGCTTATTTTATATCGCTTCGAGTCTGATGAGACTATATGGCGATTGATCAAGACTTTAAAAATGGTTAGATCTCACCATTCTACCCGGCCAGGAATCGAACCTGGAACCTATCCGTTGTGAGGCAACGGCCTTAACCACTACGCCAGGCCACCGGGCATAGAATACATTCTTGAAACTTTTCCTTCGGAAACTTTAATATTCACTTCAGAAATCCAATATAAGATTATCCACTACAATTGCCATACATTAAGCCCCGTGGGGTAGGACAAACGCGCGCGAACCAATCTAGTATTTCAAAAACGGAGAAGTTTTCCAGCCATTTCACTCCATAATGATGAAATTCCGTTAAATTATCTGAAAGAATGGGAACAGACTCTGAATATTCTCACGGGAATCAGTTTTTTCATCCACAAATGGGAAATTTCATTCATCGAGGCTATCATTATTGGATTCTCCTGACTAAATTGTCACATCATAACGTCGAGAGAAATTATCCTCCAATAATCGACGATATTGTTCAATTCTAGAAATAAAAACTTGGAGAAAAAATACTCTGCTTCAATTTCCTCTCTCATCCAACATTTCAGATGGTTCACAATACCCAAAATGTGAATGTAACGACAGGAAAAAAAATAATCATCCTCGGCCCGCCGGTTTATTGTTTCAACCGAGATAAGAAATGAAAAAAGAAGGGTTTTTATAATTCACAATGTGTTGGATAGGTCATGGGTAGCCAACAGTTTATTTTTCAAAGGTTTCAAGATTTTCTAAACACTCGGAGGAAGTCCTTGCCCGTGGCACTATTAAATACCCAAATATCAAAACAAGAAGAAGAATAATACGTAAAAATGAGATGTAGTTCCAGGGGCAGAAATTAATTTTCATTCCAGAGCGGTATGAGGACAGTGGAAAAAAAATGCTGAGGGAAAAATGAGATGAGAGTTTAAAGTGGACGCAGAAAGACAATTAAACTTCGGGTAAAACTTCAAAAGGGTTTCTATCAACCCAACGATGGCCTAAGGCTCCTGGCAGGGTTGGAGATAGCTCGAGTGTTTAATTTAAATGAAAATTAGGAGGACCCCTGCTCGGCTGAAGCGACTATCACTCCTCTTTGTTGGCTAATTTTTTTATGCATAACGCGTTCATATGGAATTTATCTGAATCCCTTTAATTTTCCATCAGTTGCGATGGAGAAAGATTCCTCAGCGATATTGAATATCAATTGTGCGCCCAGAGAAATCGTTAATTCGAATGAAAGAAATTGTTCTTCAGATATTCTATCGTTATTTTTTAATTGAGAATTATAATTGAGAGTATAGTTCGCCCATATGCGACAATGTAATGGATTTGATACTGTCATACCACTTTAAGATGAATTTTCAATGACATCATGAATACCAAAGATGAATAATTCATCCATAAAATATCAAGTACAATACCTCCAAGTTCCTCCCCAAGAACTGATGAATGAATCCACCGATCATTCCTCACCATTTATTAGCCCTGCAAAACTCCCAACATAAACGTTTCTCTTGGCATGAGATCTCAGCTAGCTGTGTCGCCGCTTGAAAGCCCAAATTCCAAACGATAAAGGCTATACGACGGGGATTTCTTCGGCGATACCATCGCCGAGTGAAAAAAAAAAGTGTAAGAGATGAAACATTCAACGTTGAAGTACATCAAGATGATGGTATGGGATATAGTGAGAGAGAAGAGGTGTCCCTCGAGTGTTTTCGCAAGCCGGGAGTCGAACCCTTGGAAAAACACAGGCCAAATTGAATCCCTCGAGTACAAGAACCGTCTACTCTGGCTTGTCTGCGCACCACTCACCAGCGACTACTGTCCTCCCCCTCACAAACGTCAAAATTTTGAAAAATTCCTCGTTAAATTCCGCTGGACAATTCCAAAAATCCAAAAGGTCGATCTTCATTGACGAAAAGCCAGAAGTTCTGGAGGCTCTCGATCAATCAATGATGACCGATCCATCGGATTCAATGATCGAGATGATAAAATCCACCGCTGAGAGCCCAAAAATCCCAAAATGTCCAGAATCTCCAAAGTCCCCCAGCCCCAAAAATCTCTCCTCCACATTTCCCCAGAGTCTCCAGATAGGCGTGATCACTTAATCCCCAGTCTCTGCTCTGCCATTCGTTCCTCCATCCAAGTAGGCGTTACCCGGATGTCGAGCATCAACCACTGAAGCAACTTTCTCCTACTACAAAGCGGGCGGAGCTTGTCACAAAATTTTCAAAAAATTTTCCCTAGCCATGAGCATCCAACCCCTCCAATCCATCCACTTCCCCTCTCCCTGGAAGGGAGAGAGGGGGATACCAAAACCAGTTGAGGTTTTCGAGTAGGAGGGTTGGAGGCATACAGCGCATCCCAGTGTGAGCATCATCCAAAAGTAAAGGAGGAGGCTCACGACACTCTGCCACGAGCGTGACGAGCCCCCAGTGTGTTTTTACTCGGGACTGAGTAAACGAGACGCTTGTTGTGTATCATAATATCGTAACCACGGGATCCAGAAAACCAGGGTGATTTAAAAAAGAATCTATTCAGCCTTTCTCAAGGGCCCTGCCACCTTAACCACCTAGTAAAATCCAGTCAAATTTAGAAAACTTAATAGTGCAAAATAATCAGTGAATTTGATGAAATTGTGACAGTGCCGACATGGATAACATCATCGTGCTAATGTAGAATCAATGAAGTCAACTTGGTGAAGTGAATTTGGCAAGCGTGATTGACGTGACCAGTTAAAAATTACCGGAAGCCGAGAAGTTACCAAAATGCACACATTATTTGGTGAGCAAAACGCGTACTACCGTCACGCGACGGGAGTCCCAGTGGGTATGGGAACCCCCTCATACCCAGGAGTTGGTGCAGCACCGGGTTACTACGAGCAATATCGTTACGGTGGTTATGCCACAGCAGCTGGCTACCCAGTGCCCGGAATGGGTCAACACAACATGCATCACCCTGGTAAAGACATGGTGAAGCCACCCTACTCCTACATAGCCCTGATAGCAATGGCCATTCAAAATGCCCCAGACAAGAAGATCACTCTAAACGGAATCTACCAATTCATAATGGAAAGGTTTCCCTACTACCGGGAGAACAAGCAGGGCTGGCAGAATTCAATAAGACACAATCTCAGCTTGAACGAGTGTTTCGTTAAAGTGCCGAGGGACGACAAGAAGCCAGGTAAAGGTAGTTACTGGTCCCTCGACCCAGACAGTTACAACATGTTCGATAATGGCTCTTATTTGCGGAGGAGAAGACGATTTAAGAAGAAGGATGCTCTCAAAGAGAAGGAAGAAGCGCTAAAACGTCAAGGTATTGTCACGGAAAAGAGAGAGGATGCAAAAGCGTCGGCAACACTACAGACGGATTCGGCGAAGAAGCTCGGGGTTCATGAGTGTAAACAGCCGAAAAGAGAGCCCTTGAATGACCAGAACCATTGTATGGCAAATTCCGTGGGTAAATACGCGATTCAGGAGGCTAAGACAGCTACAACAACTGCCAGTGTAATTCAGACAAACTTGGGACACCAAGCGACGGCACATCAGGTGCAGCATCAACCGCATCAAGTACATCAGGATGTATCGATGACGGATGTTAATTTGGGATTAGATCCAGCTGCATTCAGTGTTGATGCACTTATGACGACGAGTAGAGATCATCATTCTCATGGCATTCAGCATCATACTACTCATTCCCATGGCTCAGTTATGGCTGCCACAACTGCCGTTACGACGACGAGCAGCACGACCGCTGCTGTCGCCGCAATGATGGCATCCACTGGTTATGGACATGTCACACCTTCCAGGGGGAATTCAACACCTCCTGGCAGCATGTATTCACCTTATTGTCCGAGCTCAGCTACTGGGTACATCATGGAACATGCGGATTACAATGCGGCGAGTAGGAATCATAGTGGCGCACATTCTCAGTGGTATCAGGAGGCCGCCAGTCCTGATAATCCGGGGATTTATCAGGACACTCAGTCACCGAGTTGTCAATTGTACAGGTAATAAAGGGTTTTTTCAAGTGTCTTCGATAATGGGTTTCGTGGTGGCGCCTTTTGGCTCGCGATGAGGATGATGAGACTGTTGTCCTTATGTTTCTCGTGTCTTTCAGGTCAAGTCCACCAACTCCCCTGTCCTCCGGTGCCGCCCCATCGCCACCCCTCTATCACAGATACTACCAGGACTGCAATGCAATCAGCACCAGTGGCAATCTACCGATAACGCTTCACAAATACTGAGATTACCGTTCCTCAAGGTCTCATCGAGACCTTGAAGAGGCATCTAGCAATCATCATCAACCCAATCATCAGGCTCATCATCATCACGAGTATGATCCTGGCATGGTCTACATTAAGCAAGAGTGGACATCGCCGGACGAGCTCACGAAAGAATGGAACTGAAATTGATATGTGACAAAACCCACCGATGAAACATCAAGTTATTTTGTATCACACGAGTCGATACATTTTGCAATGCCAAGGATTTCAAACATCTGTGAGAAATTAAGCGTTTGGCGCACACCTGACCTGGGCCAAATATTTCGCCGCAACATTCATGTATCAGTATTGTTGTTGAGGGAATTGTCATTTCCCCAGTTGAAAAATTTTTTCGTTATTTTGCATTTTGTTGAATAATTCTATCCTTCTCGTTTTGAACACCTGCAACTGTGTAAACGGAGACCGATGGGCAAATAATCGACGCGACGGGAATAATTCTTATTCATTTCATTCTTCTCTTTTTCCTGTGTTTACCAATTGTCTGTAATAAATATGTGCGGCGGGGGGAAGGGATTCATAATATGAGGACGAATCAAAGTCATTTCCTCGTTTTTTTTTTCTCAATTCAATTCATAATTTTTGAGATTATGAGTTTCCTTAGAATCGGTAGATCAATGAGCATTTATAAAACTGTATAAAAAAATTTATAATTAACGTCATTCCTTTCTCTCTTCAAACGTGAATTAGGAGAACAGTGGAACGTTTTCGTAAAAAGAGCTGAGATATATTTATTGATAGTAAATAAAGAGAATAAAAGAAATTTTAAATAAAATAATGTGAATAAAATAGATAAATCGTAAATGTAGAAAAATGAGGATAAAGATAATGTTGTAGTTAGGTGATGAAATAAAAAACAACACAACCCGTGCGAATACGTTTGTTTAGAGACACTCATTGCGTGTATTATATTATTTACGTGGATAAAAGAATTATATAGAGTATAGAATTGTATAGTTAAAAATAGATATTATAGAAAATATATATATATATTGAAGTGCATATGAAAATGTCTCGCACGTTGTGAGACTGATTGATTTATTATTATTAAAATTATGATAATTATGGACTTGTGGGAGGAGTTCGCAGAGAGCGACTTTCCAAAATAAATATTATTAAAAAATAATCTCACAGTGAATTTTTTCAATATTATTTTCATAATTTTCTCTTTCATGGCAATTAATCTTTTGAGTGGAATTTACGAGGAAAACATTTCGAGGCACTTGGACGTACTCGTGGAGCTTAAGCCGAGGAGAATTTAATAATAAATGCAGTAAGATGAAACAGATGTGGCTTGGATTGAACTTTGCTTGCATCTACAAAGTACCTTTCACTTGATTTAACCACAAACTGCCAGTGGCTAGATTTTAGTCGGAGAGCTTGAGGCAATGGTAAAATGTATCGTGGGCTTGAGATGTTTGAGACGAAAAATTGAGTACTCTTACATTTTTCTGATTTAAATGGGGAAGAGGATTTTGGGTGGTCGAAAACTAGCCCCAGGGCGGGATTTTCAGCATCTGCCGGGGAAACACGTGCTCCGGATAAAACCAGAGGGGGCCCCTTTGCCATTCAGGACCCAATCCGTTGGTTCGGAGAATGATAGAGTATCGAGCTCGAAGAGCACTCGTACCTTTGGGGATTTTAAGGGAGGTTCTTGGAGAGAGAACTTGGGGAAGTCCCCTGGAGCTCAAGATTTCGTCGGTTCGATTGCACAATTTGTTGGTTTCGGGTTTGGGAATAATTATTGAATTTGATCTTTGGAATTAGGGGCCGAGGGAGAATGTGTGAACATGGGAGAGAGTCAATCCTTGTGCCAACATCCATAGCAAACACTTTATTGAGGCTCCTTAGCAAACATCAAAATCCTATGTCAATTAAAGTTTAGCTCCCCTTGTATTCTTTGAAATCCAACCGAATTTTTTGAAATTCCAGTCGGTATACAACAGGATCAGCTAATACACCTGATGCCAAGGTAATTTTTATCCCCGAAAATATCGTGTTGACACTGAGATGATGAATTCGATTTATTAGGGGGAAGAGCCGTGAAATTTTTGATTCATCTTAAAACTTTAATGGATTTCCATATTTTTGAGAAACAAAAACATGAGAATTCCCCAAATTACTTGAATTTTTAATTAATTAGCAATTTATGAATATATTCGTCTAATTTCCTGATTTTTATTAATTTTCATGGAATTATTGAACCATTATTATTGTCGGTTTTCATTTTTTCACCGTATTGTGAATTTTCAATGACTAAATTCCTTTAAATTTCAGTGGAACTGTCACTTGATAAATAATTGCAAGGGGTGTACCAGAAATTTAAGCCACAAATTTCAGAAAGTGTATTCGGAGATTTCCTCAAAAAACAACCAAAAAAGTTTTAATTTTCAGTAACTTTTAATTAAATTAACATTATTGTACTCAAATTAAAAACATTCTCGTTCCTGAATTGATAATTGTTCCTGTCCTGAGAAAGATAGGCCTTCGCTATATAATTTTAGAAATGTTTCTTCTGAAACTGAGTGAATAGTATTTTATTCCAAAGACAATCCACATTAGAACCGTAAGTTCCTTTAAGTCAGTAACTTTATTCTGAAAACTAGAAACTCTTTCTCAGTGCAGTTGCACCAGCCGAAGCAATTAATTACGATACGACATTAATTCGGTCATCCAGCGATTAATTTCCGAATGGACAAATATTTTTCGGCCTTACTAAAACAAACATCCCATTTTTTTCCCGCTATATTATCACCCAGAGCGTCCTCTCTGTCGTCACGCTGTACCCTCAAAACATAAGCGGAAGTCCCTCCGTGGGAATCCCTCGAGTTTCTTCTTTATTACCCGAAAAAAAAGAGAAATAAGTAAAATGAAAAATTCATCGGAGCACAACAAAATAAATCTTAGCAAAAGTATGGATGGAAACGTGGGGAGAACTGTGTACACTGGTTAACCAGGGAATTCCGTCTCCCGCGAGCGATTTCAACGTCGTCTCTCTAACGTACAACGCGAAAGACGAACAGATGGAGAATTTCCCAGGCAACCCCTCACGGGGAAACGCTAAACTGTGCAGAATTTTCCTACCCGGTGCTTCTAACTCCACCTCCCAACGTCTCCGGGACTTCCTCGTCCACACATTTCACAAAAGAAATTTATAATTGAGTTGTAAAAAATGTCTTGAAGAGGCGGAATCACTCGTGGACAATAATAAACATGGATGAATAATAACGCGGATATTTTCCTCTTGAATTTTCAATAGTTTTCCTTAATGAATTGCACTCGGTCATCACTGGGGAATAGAAACATCTCCAAATGAGGAAAATTGAACTCAACATTATATCATGATTCGTGAATAAAAAGAAATTTGTTATGTTTGAGAACTAAATGAGACTGAAAATTATTAGAGTTGTCATTGGAAAAATCAAGATGACTCAGTTTCCCCGAATAGATTGTTAAGAGATTAATCTTGGGATTTTTAACACCTAATTTATAAAAAACCGTACATAGCGGTATTGATAAATCAATTAATTGCTGAAATATTCAGCGAAATTCTAAATTTTAGATTCATACGACACACTTTCAAGAAAAAAGTCGAACTTTCATGAACAATCTGGCAGTAATATTCATAAAGAATGGCATTAAATTCGATTTATGGTTATGATTATGATTGAAAATGACAAGAGTTGTCCTTGGAAAGATCAAGATGACCCATTTAACCCCAGTACCTAGTTAAAACATAAATTTTGGGATTTTTAACAACTAATTTATACGAAACCGTGCATAACGGTATTGAGAAAAAAATCAAAGTTTCATGAACAGTCTGGAAGTAATGTTCACGAAGAGAGACGTTAAATTCGAGTCAAGGAAAAAATGATTATGAAATATTTCCATTGAAATAAATACCCTCAATTGGAAAATTTTCTTCTCCCTGGAGTTTGCACCAATTAATCTCCCGAAATTGCTGTGGAATCCGTTCACGAGCGTTCCAAATAGAGTCGTCAACGTGAAAACGTACCGGATACGAGTTTACATAGGTAACACATATACACAAAAACATGGCAACATCCAGAGCCGTTTGCATATACTCCTTTTGGCCACATTCACTATTAAAACTACTCCCCCTGCGCTCCCTCACTGCAGGGCTGGGCGCTCCAGGCACGATTAAATACGATGGCCCGGTTGTGTATGCGCTATAACGAATGTGTTTTCACAGAGCAATTTAGCATTTAATGTCATAATGACGATCGGAATTCTCGTCGTCGGTAAATTCGCTGGATTAACTGTAAATCCTCGACATCACCTTTTCCACGAAAAAAAAATGTTGAAAAAAATTTTCCTTCAAGGAAAATCTAAAGAGAAAATCAATTTCAATTCGATTGGAAGAAATAACAGCTTCTTCATATTTTTTTTATTAGAAAAATGAAGCGTGAAAAGCGATTTTTCAAGGTTTAACTTCGCCCGACCCAAAAAGGAAAACAAAAAAAATTTGTTTTAACCTTTTATTATGTTCCAGTAGTCTCCCATGTGCCTAGTGATCCGCTAAAAATTCTCTCTCTCTACCTATTATTCACGTCATTCCATGCCTCGATTAATACGTATATCCTCGCCTACAACGAGTGTAACAATTGCCAACACAATAGCACCAGTGTGACAGGGGCGAATCACTCGCGGACGACTTGGCATTTCAACCTAAAAATTCACCCTCTGCGGTGGGCCTCGATGATCTTTATCCTAGGAGCCGGCGAAAAGGTACATCTACTCATCTCACTCAATAACTGCAGGCGCACCCCACGCTATTTATGCGCGTGGCATTGGCTCGCTCACTCGTGAAAACGTTCAAGTGCACAATGGGGATGTTTGCCCGTAGGAAATCCCTTGAAATAGATATACCAGTGCATTCTGAGGTCTTCCAGCCATCCATAAAGATCTAATTATCCACCCCCATTGATACAAATAATAGAGAA